CTCTACAGCTGCGTTGTGATATAGGCTCTACAGCAGCATTGTGATATAGGGTCTACAGCAGCATTGTGAAATAGCCCCTACAGCAGCGTTGTGATATAGGTCCTACAGCAGCGTTGTGATATAGGCTCTACAGCAGCGTTATGATATAGGCTCAACAGCAGCGTTTTGATATAGGCCAACAGAAGCGTTGTGATATAGGCTTTACAGCAGTGTTGTGATATAGCCCTACAGCAGCGTTGTGATATAGGCCTACAGCAGCGTTGTTATATAGCCCTACAGCAGCAATGTGATATAGGCTCTACAGCAGCATTGTGATATAGGTCCTACAGCAGCGTTGTGTTATAGGCTCTACAGCAGCGTTGTGATATAGCCCTACAGCAGCGTTGTGATATAGGCCTACAGATGCATTGTAATATAGGCTCAACTGCAGCATTGTGATATAAGCCTACAGCAGCAATGTAATATATAGGCTCTACAGCAGCGTTGTGATATAGGCTCTACAGAAGCGTTTTGATATAGGCCGACAGAAGCGTTGTGATATAGGCTCTACAGCACCGTTGTGATATAGGCCTACAGCAGCGTTGTGATATAGGCTCTACAGCAACGTTGTGATATAGCCCTACAGCAGCATTGTGATATAGGCTCTACAGCAGCATTGTGATATAAGCCTACAGCAGCAATGTGATATAGGCTCTACAGCAGCGTTGTGATATAGGTCCTACAGCAGCGTTGTGATATAGGCCTACAGCTGCGTTGTGATATAGGCCTACAGCAGCGTTGTGATATAGGTCTACAGAAGCGTTGTGATATAGGCCTACAGCAGCGTTGTGATATAGGCCTACAGCAGCGTTGCGATATAGGCCTACAGCAGCGTTGTAAACAAGAAGCGTAAAAGAGCGGTCTCTATTAGATTGCATACATCATTAAATTGTCAGTTTTTTTTGCTGTGAGTTGAATTTACGGAAACAAAAGACAATGCAATAAATATATGTATATTATAGCACAAACTTAACATATAGCGTCTTTAACGTGTTTACAAGAAGTAGTATAGCACATACGTTCTCACACAGTACTAGTGTTATAACACCGCCTTTTGAAAATAACATTGCGTTCGATACAATTTACGTATATAGAGTTTCATGGTTGTTGCCATGGATACAACATATAGGGTCAAATAACGATCCCCGATGTTATCAGTTAATCATCTCGTATTTAAAATTTGGCTCGCACATTTATCCACATTTTTGGTCACGTGAGAGTGTATTGAGCTATTGTGATTTTCCGGCAGGCGTACATGATTGCTCACTCTCGGTTAATGGCGATCAATTTAGGTGCAATTTCCTCTCACTGTCACACACATATGTGTTCATATGAGAGAGCACTATGAGGTCGTTATACTGCTTTCACTGAATACCACAAAAAATTAACAAATGGTGGACGCTCTCATAGTGCTGTAGTACACAGATAGTCAGTTTGTGGTGAATACACAGTCTTCGAGAATTCCGTGATTAAAATATCTCCAACGTAATCATGTAGAATATTATCAAAGTATTGCTTGAGCTTGTATTCAGTTTAGGACGGGCTAGCATCAATGCATGTACATCATTTTAATAAAGCTTTTACAGGTTTCTGTGTCACGTGGTATATTTGTCTGAATACGTCATAATTATCCGCTATATTGTCGTCATCGTTCGCAGTTGATTGTTATAAAATAACTAAAATAATCCTCTAAGTATAAAGTTGTCATAACACCAAGTGTTTGCAAGTAAACATACTGCTTTTATTACCGCAAATTCTTAGAATTACAGCAGCTTTGTACAATATTGAATAAACATAAACCGTGGAGGGTACTATTAGTGCGCGTCATCATGCACGAACCTTGAACGAGCCTGCACCGTTGGTGACGTAATCGGACAACACTCGCGTCTATAAACATGGACGTATTATCAGATTCATATTATATCTTTCGTGTGCATACGTAACCACACCGTCACGTGTTCTTAAATTACTCATATCACACTAATTATGGAAATGAAACAATGTTTGAAGACAACACATGCATAATTAATTATAGTGCCTAACAACACACTCTGTGTTAAATATCAACCAGTGTGGAAGCAAGCTGTTCCTAAATTTCTATTTTCAGTCAAAATAAATATAACCAGAGGGATGAATCATCGTAAATGATTAAAACGAATGATGTCCATATGGACATGCTAATATTTGCATTACTTGTTATGATTAGTACATATTGGTCGCTGTCGGTCGTAATTCTCGTATTTTTTTTTTAATTTAATAATAAATGTTTACTTATTATCGTACTTTATTAAAAATCGAGAATTAAAAAGTGTGACCACAGTTCATAACATATAAACACCTACCGTGAATGTATACTTGACACGCTGCATCTGATTAACCCCGCGCATGCGCTTTGTTGAAAATAAAAAAATGCGCTCATTTTATTTATCGTGTGAATATACCTCACATTCACATTTCTGTTCAGTCGAGTCGCTGAGTTAGGAGAGAGATAGAGCAGACGTCTGATAATCTGAACATATCCGATAGAAGAGTCCGCTACCTTCGTCACCATGGCTCACATGAAGAAGATAACCAAAAAGCACGAAAAATACGAGAATTTTCTGTCGAAATATCCAAAAACAGGCGTGTTGACAGCTGACAAATTCGCCGAGATCTGGGAGCACTATGATTCGAACGGTAGAGTATATGTTTGATATTCATTGCAGTGATATTCTGTATTTTGAGCAGCGTTCCACGTACACTGGGGAATAAATATATGCAAAATTATAAATAATTAACAATTATACTTATTAATTGGGTTTTCGGCAAATTGTGCATTAAACAGATCTTGATTATTCTGCGACATTCGAGATGACTGGATCTGTTGTTGTGGCTGTGCTGGTGAAAGCCACGTAATTAAGTACAGTGTATGTGTCCATTCATAACGATAGATTATGTGTGTCTCATCGCAGTGATCATGTAATAGAAAATAGATCAGCATCCCGGCTTTTCATCACATGGTGCGTTTGCAATGTATGTTTAAAGTCACTGATTCGAACGTATTGTGTATGTTGAGTTTTCTTACAAACGGCGACAGATGTATTGGGTGTTAAGCGCCCTTGTATTATGCCTTTCAATGCCACGGTGTGTGATATTTTAGCAAAACAGCAATGCACATTTAAACTGAAATTATTCCGGAATCATACATTATAAACCTAATTCGGATATTATTGTCAGTCTTGCGTTTGAAAGTTTCATGGAGGCAAATCAGGTTCTTATTCAGAAAGCTATTATAGTGTTTACAGTATGTCTGTTTCAGCTGGTCTTCTGTACGATCTGCCACATAATAGCACCGAAGTCATCACACGTCATGTTCGATCATCTGCTACAAATACAACGCATGAAAAATAAATTTTGCACGAAATTTGAATTTGCAGCACAAAAACAACTGTGTAAATATATCTATTTTGTTAAATTGTCACCTACAATTTCATAAATTGAATTAAAGAACGGCACTGTTATAGGAAATCACGTGAAACGTCACTACAGTAACGTTAACTGATCTCCAACTACATATGTGTACACTGCACGTGGACTATCCGTGTTTAATAACATACGTCTTCAACTTAATCACTTACAGATATGATTCGGTTTCGCGCTATCTGCGCCGTATACAACCTTAATCACGACATTCACTCGTACATACCATGAAACAATATAAGCAGTTCCATTTTCGTGTTTTTTTTTTATTTTTAAATTTTATTCACATTTCATCAAATTTAGCATTCGATGACGCGACAATTCGGCAAATCGATTCGAATGTATAAACTCAAAACTATTTAGTTGACGTGTTGATAATTGATTGGTAATTCTGTGTAGTGACCATTGTTCGAATTATTAGCCAAATTAAAAAAAAAAAAACATGCAAATCAATTTACTTCGCCGCCTCAGTCGCCAAGCCTGGCCTGTACGTACGCCGCCTCATTATACGTTTCATAAATACAGGCGTCCTCTTTGTATTACATTATTAATCCATATAGTCCCCAAAATGCAGAGATGCACTGAGATATAATAAGTAATTGAACAGTGGGTCAGTGTTATTGTTTAGGGAATACTCTACTTCATTAGAAGTACTATTAATTTGAGCTAGCGAACGAGGTTGAGTGCATTCTGATATGATGTCGAAAGGTTTCATTTTACTTTTTAGTATGCGTGATTCTGATATTAGAAGTGTGTCGTGATGACCTACTCCCTACGTAAACCATTCTTTCGAGATGCAGTAATACAAAACGGACGGAAATACGAAACACAAACGTGACAGCATACATTTACTAGTTCAATAATTGGCATAAACTAAGTGTATAGTAATTTGCATATCAGCGTAATTCATTGAAATTTATTCCACTAGAAAAATATTTATTTACAAAGACAGTTAAAAAAAATGAATATATATATATATATTTATTTATTTATTTTTGCACAAAAAGTCAGTATTAATTAGGCGATGACACATTTGATTAAATCTGAAATTGTGCTATAAATTATAATGGTACGACTGATCTTATCAGATGTCCATATCAGATGACTATGGATGCATAAAAGAATCATTTACAAAGTAGAAGCAAGCAGCGGTGCACTATTCTGTTTACTATCGTAGAACATGCTTCAAAATATAGATTTTTCATTTTGAATCAAATCTACAATGACAAATATATCCATCGGACCGAGCCAGGCATCTTAAAAATTAAAGCACACTTGTTTTAATAATAATACATTTCTGCGTAAATTTGATATTTTGCCATGTAGTTTGGAAATAGTGTTTAGTAAATCGATACATTGGGAAGTTGAATACAAGGTCATATAAAAATAATTATACTAGTATTGGATTTAGATAACGCTTATAATACACTTGTACTGTTATCAAAAACGCATCGCATTAGCTACACACATGAGAATATATTACAATAATGAGTAAGGGAAAGATGTGATCATCTCTATTGTGTGTTAGCATCCTCTCGAGAGGATCGTTATATCCTTTGTGTACACATTGAGAACATATCCTGTCAGTCACATGTTTCTTTTCAAATGCCTTCTCCGAATATCTAGGTACGTTTTTGTGGAACTCGTGATTTTAATGACTCTGTGAATAGGTCTACGTGAGTTTTTGTCTTATGGAACCGGCATTCTATCATTGTTTGTTTGAACCATTCGATTTTTTTTGAAAAGGAAAGAGGGTAGGATTATGCTACAAATTTGGAAATTAGCAATCCGGTAATAAAATAACCACTCTTCGACTACTTCCAGTCATGTATCTTGTATTATTGTTTGAAATTGTCATGGAAACCAACCCAATATTGTAATCATATAAATGTCGTCTATATTCCATGTGCTTGGACGTACTTACTGGGTACATAAAAAACACCAGGGCTCGCAAACAGCGCCCAGAACGGCATATATCGATAAAGATAATAACCAATTAATACATCTTGTAAGAAAGACGCCAACATAATTACAATTTTCAATTCCGTTGGATTATTGGAAATATAATTAAAAGTAAAAGCAATATATCATGAATATGATGAGTTTTTTTAATTGTTACTAAGCGTTATTGACATCAGTTCGTTTTCAAAACGGTGAGTTTATGCAAATGAATCAATATTGGGACCGTATTACACCACTAATGCACTCGATACAGACAGAGGTCACTTACGGTCAATTTAGAATCGACCATAAGCCAGAGATGGCAAAAAATATTACAAGTAGTGCACAGGTGTGCTCCTTCTAACCTTCTAATGCAAATGCACGCAATCTGATTTATATACTGTAATCTGACATCTATTTAAAATTTATCCGATTGCAGACACAAAATATTGACTACTTTGATGGAAATAATTAAGTGGAAGACATCTTCAAGACATTAAATGGGTGAATGTGCTAATATTCTAGCGTGATTTATTGTGTCCTAAAATAGCGAGCATCAAAGTGTGAATAAAATGAATCACTCGCCGTTTATTTCGGTATATACTATATGCCACGATGTCACAACGACATGTGTCAATAATTCTGTATCACGTGATACTGGGATTGTCACGTGATTTAGCTGGACAGCATTATGGGATACATATAATATTATAACATTGCCATCTTGTTGCGTAGCACCTCAAATGTAAGTTATGTACTGTAAATATTGTTGTGCACATTGCACATTGTTGCCAAGGTAACCGACATATGTACTTTTTAAGACGTAAATTTAATCCACCTTCAGGCAAAACATTTCAAGTAAATGGAGTATTATAGAAAGTTAAATGTTTAGCGGAGTTGTACTTTATAATTTAGTGTTGTAAATTACCCCGGGTAACAGCACACGCCGCATTAAGAGGCTCAGCAGATGCAATTGCTAATAATACGTGCAACCATTAAAAATATTCAGTTTCAAGAAGAATAATACGATTTCAATAATACATGTTATTACGTCGAATAGACACAGCCTGGGAACCCGTGACGTGTATATTTGATAACCGCTGTGGACAGACTGTTTTTGTTGGCGCTCACTTGGCAACGTTCTGAAGTAATATTTTGCAACCTGGGTACTTTAAAACATTAATATCCATTAGTAGCGCATCTAAAATATATCTGAATCACGTATTGCAGAACTGCCTTATCGGAAAAATTTTGGTAATGATATGCATAATGATCGTTTCCATTGGCAACACACATTATACTTTTATATGTTTTGACTTATGACTGTCACATTTATACGGGCACGAAAATTGGAATTATTGGCGCATAAAAGTTGTCGAACCGTTATGTAATATTCATTCAGAATTTAAGTCGCGACTTCCTAAGAATTACATGTTCCCCCGCAAGATACATAAATAAATGAAATCTAACATTTGTTTGTGGTTTGTATGTTAATTATTCATACTAATTATTATTATACTATGGTTGTTTTAGTCCCTTGTGAATACAATATTGCTATTGATCTTTCTGGCAGACACTCTCCAGAGAACTCACACCTGCTTTCTCTTTGGAGTACTAGATATAGAAGTGTTGCCATGCGGTGGTTTTCATGTGTACTTTAACTAACATTGTTTAACTACATAAGCTGTATAGTTTCATTACGTTTGATCAAATGGTTAATTGTTATGCAAATGTGTTCATTATTATGCACAGTTAACTCTAACAAACAGGCACTTACAGTGACAGACATACAACCACTTACAATGACAGAAAGAAAGACAGACATACAGACAGACATACAGACATACAGACATACAGACAGACATACAGACATACAGACATACAGACATACAGACAGACAAGTTGTTTGAAATTTTGTAGTCTATATTTCACAATATCGTTTTTTTTTCACAGAAAGTGGGTATATTGATGCAGATGGTTTGGACAAGTTTTTTACTGATCTTTTGCAGTCGATGACTGGGGACAAGGTAATTCATCCAATTTCCTGTTGCAAAACACACACAATTTATTTACTTAATATATACGCAAATTACTACAGACAGGGATAATTAGAATCTCGCACACTTCGTTTGAAAATTGAAAATAAAATCGAATTGTACTCGCAGTTAATTATGATACAGTATCACATGTCTTTTAAATGGTATTTTGGGCCAGGCGACAGCACCGGATTTTTGGTATCATTGTTGTCTCTTCTGAATTTGTTAGGTGAAAATCCTAAATGCGAGTGATTACACAAAAGCACATGTTGCGCTGTGTGACCATCTTCCTAATCATATTGAAATTGTGGCAATTTAATGCACTATTCTGCCGCCAATCAGATTACGGATGCATTTCGACATCGTATTTGCACATCGTAGTTATTGTCACTGTTAATCTATGATGTGCACTTGTTTTTTGTAATTAAAACCTCACCCCAAATTAGTTATCATGAATAAATTAAACATTATTTATGTATTTTGAATGTATGTAAACAAGCAGTATGTAACATTACCATTCCAGACAATAATACAAACTATATTCTGTTGTCATAATCATATGACATTCTCACTTCACGCACAAACCTAGTTCCGCCGTTGTCTTAGAAAGGTATAACGATTCCCTCTCATCGAGTTGTACACCATGTTATGCTGTGAGTAACAAATGATTACACGATGCTTGATAATAAATTGTCATCTGAGAGACGGAAACTGGTTTTGATATTTCATAACTGCAAATTAAATTTACCATATAACAATCCAGGGTGCGACTAGAAAGAAATCCATCTTACTAAGCGTTGAGAAATTCATTATTCATATGCTCGCAGAGTCGGTTATTATCGAACAACGCCTCGTGGAAGTGCAGTGCAAATACCATAATGGATTACACGTAGTTTGGTATAGCATCATCAAGATTATGTACAAAGTGGGTGATTCAATCCAAACTGAATTAAACTCGGGGATGTCAATTTGGAGACGTCCTGTCAGTTATTATTAAAGTCAGAACTACCCACCTAGCAATGTGTATATGTGTGTTCGTAGCCATGGATATTCGTAAGATTGACATATGTTTGAAAATGAAACAGACATCATAACAGCGACACGACACACTGTCTCATTACACAGTATAATCAGTATCTCACTGTGCAACTAGAACGGAAATGCGTCCTGTTCATTTCACTTAACGCATTGTGTCATCCTAGTTCGAGAATGTACTACCTATCATTCACATTGCTCGCAGTGATTGAGTAAAGTACCAGCAGTTTTCGATAATCTTCCATTAATTGTGATAAGATTACTTGTTACATGTTATAAAACGTGTTGACGAGTTACTTATTCATGTATTATATATTCATAAATATTATCACTTATTTGCAAAATTTGCTTTTACATATTTCTACCAGAGTGAAGGACACATACTGAATGGTTTATGTTACCCCCTGCTAGCAATACTTATTAAACAGAGTGGGGCATTATAATGGTTAAAAACCAAACTAGTGGAAACCCGTTGATTGACGTATACTGTGATTGCTCAATGGCATGCGTGGAGAGGGGGGGCAGTCATCGGAAACTGAAACTGCAGTAAAGAAACGTGAATTATATGACGAAATGTCAACAAAACAGTGTGTGGCGAAATTATTGGATGAATCTCTGTTGCATACGGCGGTAGAAAATTAGTTGTACACAGTCATTCGTGTTATGCTGCAAAACGCGTTGAACATTACATCTTAGCAAAATAAACAGATTGTCACACATTTGTAAACTGGACGTTTTCCGCGTATGCACAGTGTTCAAGACCAAAAAATGAAAACCAATTCTCATCCTGCTATTATTCATATATTAATTAGGAGAGCATTGTTCAACCCATTACCCGGAGTACGTAAAGCCGCGTGTATTAACTAAATTGTCTTTCTTCTACTTGAGCTTTTCAGAGATGCAGCTTCTCCAAAGCCAATCAACTTCAAACAAAAAAGGGACCCTTGACATTTTTAACAAATTATTATTATATCCCTGTAAGAGCGGGCATACTCATCGACAGCGATGTCAACTTGCAACACTAATGCCTACGGAGTTACTGTATTCACAAAATACAATTATACTATATAAGAGAAAAGTGTGGCTTGAAGAAATACACATAGTCCGAATTAGCGCGGCATAGGAATACATAGTGTAATCAAATTTCAGAGACACCACGTGTAAATGGTTCATCGGTCGGCACTTTTAACAATTACAGTAACTTCAGGGTGTCAATCGTTCCCATTTTCCTGGCATCTAAAAGGTTTTAGTGGTTTGTAAATGAAAATAACGAGACTCGGTACATTTAAATGTGAACATGTCGATATGCGGAGCCTGTCATTGTGACTCATTAGGGAGATTACCTTGTATTTGAGCGTGTTTGTCAACCCACAATGAATCGTGTGATTAAGACCGACATAGGAAATGCACTAGTTGTACAAGTTAACCAGGCCATAGATTACCGTCACGTGACAATACCCTCGTTCACGACGTATGTGATAATGCTGGTCAGTATACCACCGTTAAAATATAAAAATCTAACGCTTTATTCATTTTAAGCATTTTGATGTTGAAGCAAGCTCACTATTGAAAAACAAAATACTGTCTCATGTTTGCGTTTTCATGTAAAGCACGTGTTTATTTGCAATCAAGATGGGAATGCCAGTCATCGTAATAGTGACCTCATTGACCTTTCATTTCTTATGCATATTCACGCAGTTTTCTAATTGGCACATCCGGGGACTCGTAAATGTACTATGTACACATATATAACGTGATGTGTTTATAAATGCTATATGTGATGTCACGTTACATGGCTTACGTATATAACAGTAGGGACTTATATATCTCCGTGCATATCATTCAGGTTTAACCTAACCGCAGTATTACATCGCGTACACTTGGTAGTATGGTGGACCTAATAATTATTACATTGCTAAACGTATAGAATTTGTAACTTCCCCTTCTCCTGTAAGCGTAAAACATTTTCTCTGTGGGTATCCTCGTTGCTTAGGCGAGACGAAAATTTTATGGAATGGATTGTTATTTAGATTACTGAAATTTCAATAATGAGACCCCGATGAATCATTTCAATCCCGTTTTAGCAGTCACATCACATCAAATGGATAAACGTAAAAAAAATATTTTGTTTTCATTGCAGGCTTCGTGTATTGAATTATTTCAGCTAAATTTGGTGTATTCAGATAAGTTTTATCTGCAGAATTAGGTCAATATAACTACAATAATTCATAACGTACATAATAGCTATGTTTATATAACACAATAATGATAAATAATACGATATTATTACGTTTCTTAGTGTGAATTGAAAACTATTGCACTAATATATTGAGATAGATTGATTAACCTTTTCACCACCAGTTCCCTCTTTTCATCACAATTTCACAAAATAGTCCTGTTTATAGTCTACACTCTCCTTCAGAAGATTGAGACAAAAATATACATCTTTTGAGTAAAAACTGGAAATTGATAACAAAAATTGTCTGTTGGCTACAAATTTATGGTTCATTCTCAAAAATATTTAAGAAAAAAAGAAAAAAGGGCAGACAAATTCGGGGGAGAAAGTTTGCTGATGGAAAGGTTAAAACATATCCACACTCCGTACGTTTCTTCAGATGGCGAAAACAAAATGTGGAATTGCATGACAACAATAATGCATTATTATAATATAACTGTAGCGTCAGACAAACTAGATATGCAATAATCTAGACTGTCTATGTTCTATTACAGTAGGGAATTCTTCAAGAAAACCCGTGACAGGCCTCATAGGGCCAAAACATCGTTGATTGCAATCATTTGAGAGCAGTGTTTCGTTGATGAATCCTTTCAAAACTTTGACAGAATAATTAGCTCGTGCATGTTGCCAGACATCGGAAATTATTTTTGTATACATTCGAGCACACACAGTTTGTTACATAAAGAGACTAATATTTTAGCCATTTGCCTGCCTCTCTTTGTCATATAAGATCAGGAAATATACAAAATATATCTAAAGAACAAATAGAGTTTCTTAAAAGTGCCTAGCAAAGAGACAAGGCACGCCCAGAACGCACGGTAAATTTGAAACTTGGCCGTAATCATGACATGTACATAACCAAGCAACTGAGGAAGGAGGCATTTACGATTAATACAGAAATCTATTTATTAGCACAAAAGAAAAATATATCACGCTCTTAGCAATAAATTAATAAACTGGACATCATGTATGGAATTTAAATTGCCATTGTAAATAGACCAGCAGTCTGTTTTGACATCTTATTAAATATGGATCATTCTACATCGCGTTGACATATTCAATAGTACTTTTCGCAGTTGATGCATAATAAATATACTTGACTTTAAGAATGACCTAAACTTGAACTCGACTATCGCCATATTGAGCAGAATAAAGAGGTTTAATCAATCGAGTGTATATTGTAATATGTAAATTTACTTTGTAATCAAATGTACAGTGTAATATGTAAATTTACTTGTAATCAATTGTACAGTGTAATATGTAAATTTACTTTGTAATCAAATGTACAGTGTAATATGTAAATTTACTTTGTAATCAATTGTACAGTGTAATATGTAAATTTACTTTGTAATCAAATGTACAGTGTAATATGTAAATTTACTTTGTAATCATTAGGATTACATTTATTCCTGTGTGACGTCAGCATCTGATAACACGCAGATGTACAAAACAATGTCATATTTTAAATATGAGGTCAAAGCACGGATTAAAAACAGTACTATCAAATTTGTGTCGTCAAAAACTAATACATGACATTTCATGTTTTCACTAAACACGGCCATTAAAATTAAAATACCCCGAACGCATATTACTTGTTGAGTGACACACACATATATTGGTATATATGTAATCTGTAATTGCGAGTCAGTAAACTGTCATATATAACCTTATGACACTGTGATAAAGCTAAATGCCGTAGATATTAAAACTGACACACGTTAAGAGTCATTATATTAGCAAAGCGTTCCAACAACGCTCAGTTAGAGAAATAGAGACATAACGCAGCGTACGCAGCGCATTAAGTGACCTCCGTATACTTACTCATATTAAGACATGATATAAAACAACCGTTAAATATGTTATGCAAATCGCTCGGCCAAAGCGCTGTAGTATGGAATACTTGCGGTACGCACGGTTTGCTAAGCTACTCAGCATGTATAAAAACTAATTTTGGTCAAAATTTTCCTTAAATAAATATATATTAAACAAAATGTCGATTGTTTCATTGTGTGACTTAAATCATGTTATTGGTATATACAAATGTTTATATTCAAATTAATTAGATAGTTGAAACATAGTTTGTTAAACAACCAATCAGCTGGCCTGGATTCAAGTTCAATCATATATATTTGCCATGATCAATCAATATTTTCAGATGTGAGTGATAAGTAGAGTTTTAATCGCAGCTGCGCGAGAAATAACAGAAAACGTGCATTGAGTTTTATTTTTGCCTACCCGGATCTGTAACATGTATTCGCGTAACCAGTATTTACATCGCTACATGATTCGTGTTACATGTAACCTACAGTCACGTGTCCATGTTACCTACATTAACAAATACGTTTAAAGCAAGCCTTTATTACGCTCACAAGTTACTTGTAATTAAGTTTACACATAACTCTACATATCGATTATATATAGTATGTATACGTATGTATCTACAACGGGAATATTGTAAAAAAATAACTTGATTATCATATTTATTACTACAGTTATTTTTTCCTACGACAGACTCCATTATGCCATATATTGAAACTGTGTTATACGAATTACCTCCTGGATGACCTATTTCATTTGAGTGAAGTACATTGCTTTAGTCACAAAAATAGATTCTTACAATTAACGGACAGGGTCACATTGGTTTAATCACTTAAAGAAGAACCCGGGTTCAGATGTGGCATACACTGGCATGTTGGATTAACCTTTGCAATTTCAATTATAGTTAATTTCAATAATCACTCGCCAGCATGCGCAGTTCACACTTACTAATGTCTTAGTAGTAGTCTCAGACAGCCAGTACTTAGTAACCAATGTTATCAAATGTACATGTTTTTCATCACACTATGTATATGCAGCGTAATATTATAGCGCCGTTTCCTTCTACGATTTATTGTCAAGTGCCAAATCACTGCAATAAATCAAACACAAGATCGCTATTTAAATGCATAATTTATTGAGACTTGAGGGGATACTCCGTCTTCATGTTCAACTCATTATGCGTAATTGAGGTCATTAAATATCTGCCGAAAATTCACTACATCCGGTGAAAATATTTTAGTATGCTTTGCCTATTTACATATTACAATAGAAATAGACAACCCATAGAACTGCAACGTGTCAACAATAACGAAAACGAGTTACGCACTCTTCATTGTACTGTGCGGACAAACATGAAAACCAAAAGACAGTTGACTATAAACGCCGTTTGTTTCAATACAATTGCAAAATCTGATAATTAGTTTCCTCGCTCTCAGATTACATCCTGTAAAATGGAGATAATTAATGTCGCCATAACAACACAACCAACAGAAATTTCTGAATTTGTATCAGACAATAACCTAACTGTTCTCATTAACGTACATCGTGTTATTAAATGGTACATTCTATTGTTACAGTATCATCTACGAGTGTGTGTGTGTTTGCGGATTCAGTTTCCATAATGCATTATTTAATACAAAGCCACTCTTTAAACGCAAGTTTACTGTAGAATTTGTTCAAGCGGAAAGCTAGTTGATAGATACATAGGTTTATCTATTCATGTCCATGTTGGATTACCCAGCATGCAAATACTGTTTCCAGTCGTAGCTGTTTTTAGTTTTGCTTCAGGCCACTGCATCGTATTCCATCTTCATTGGAATAATAATTATAATATAAAATATACATCGTAATAAGTATACTAGTTTAAATGCGACGCAATTGGGAGGTAGAGAGAGTGGGAGAGATAAAGCCAAATTGATAACAATCTGAATGGATTTCTCTTGGCAATACTCTGACATTTAAAGTACACCAAAACTATAGTAATCGTGGTTAATAGAATCTATATTGCCGATTGGATTGTGTTGAGGAGTATATTGATATGTATTGCCTAGCGTGATTTGAACAAGGTTGTCGGCGTTAAATGCAATGAAATGTAATGTTATTCGTCTTATGTCACGGAGAATTCAATTATCGGCGTTTTTCGAACAAAAGATATCCGATATATAATAGATGTATTATATCTATGTCAAAATATGAGTAAATATTCCGGTCATATGTGATTGGGATTTTGTTATTAACATGTATGTGGTCATGGCAACAGTACGATGTTGTTATCGCTGAACGTCATGGCGCCATTCCAAGCACGAAGTGCCCTCAATCTCCATAGATACACCCTTAATTCAATTTACTGTGATTAAATACACTAAAATACACTTTTAGCAAGAAACACATTTCAAAGTTAAGCAGATTAGTGATCAAAGTAATGATATAAAACAGTATGTTTCACGAAAAGGATAACCTACCGAGTGACTATAATGCTACCAGGGTATTGCAGACATGGCAGACACCATTTTGTATTCAGCGCCCAAATTGCTTTTACTTTCATGGTGATTTTCGCGCATTTGCCGACCAGAGGTGTTTCCCCTAGCTATTGGCATTAAATTTGGTACCTGATTTACTTGTCAGTGGTGTATTATGGGTATTAGGACTACGATATAGTATCGAGTTAATCGCGACAGCAAGGACTTGTGAATGGGTTTACACCCACGCTGCATAGCGAAAATATAGTTGCATTTTTCAGCTCGCACAAATAAAAAAAAAACGTCAGTGGCATGTAGTCCTGGTTAGAAATGATGATATCAAAATGTACGTCGACAGTAACACTGTAGGATTATTCGGTAACGGAAGTATTTTGTTATAAAAGCTCAAGGCAGTTTATGTATAGCTAGTAGGCCTAGTAGTGTGCACACGACCATTCAACGCTGTTCATACCTTCTCGTTCAGGACCGACGCACAGTCAGTCTCTCGGGACCAGACTATTCCCGATTACTCAACTGATTAAGCAGATATAACTAGAAAAATATCATTATCGAAGTCGAGGATTCATTTAATATGCAAGTAGTCTTGCATAACAAAATGCCTTAATGAATTATGGTATTAGGTACATGGGGGGGGGGGTCAATAAAGCCATAAGTTTGAACGCTGAAATTGTTTGTACTGTTAAGCAATTGTTAAAACAGCAGTTGGACAGCTCAAACACACTAACGTTGTGGTGATGTTGATTCATTCACTTGTCGCCTCATCCATTATATTAATGCTCAACTGACACATTAAGTGGCAATAAAAAACATAGAAAAATCTTGCACGAACTAAATGAATTGTCACAGATCATGTCCATGTTGTATCATACATAAGCTGGAGGTCGATGTTGCTCCCAGCTCCTACAATGCTGTATACCTAATATGAATCAATGTCTATTAGGGAAGTTTACACCTATTTGTCTAAAAAAAACGGCTGGTTGGATTAAATTCTCATTCTTCATCAACATCAGCAGCGGTCGTCTACAGTCCTGTGACAATCATAAAAGACGTTATACTTGACTGGAACTTACACTTATTTTAACATGCTTTGAATATAATGGAAAAGTACTTGTTTATTACGGTTTTTGAACACTTCATTACACGTGGCTGAATCAATCATTCAAACCAAGCCATGTCTCTATGATTACGGTACATCAATTGACATTTCCATCCCACTTGTTCTCTTATCAGAATATATCCGCAGACACTGTGCAAGATATGAAGGATTGTTTTATGTCCGCATATGACGACGCTGGTGATGGCAGAATTGCAATTACCGAGGTATGTCGTAACTCAATTGTTTGTCGCTACTAGTTAATCGCCGAGCATCTACTGGAACATCTGCAAGTCTGCTATGTTCCCGTAAACGTTCCCGTATATTATATGTATGTCGTTATAGACTTAACGCGTTCATTAAGAAACCGTGGCGTTTTTTGTATCCGTTACTGTGGCGTACTGTGGTATCTCTGTTTTAAATGGCAAGGCACTTTGTCTTGGACGTCAATTCGAATCTGTGCGTAGTGTTTATTATTTTAATAGTTTGAATAACAATTTCATTCATTTTTTTTCGTTTTAGTTGTCAAATATTTTACCAACAGACGAGACATTTATTCTCCTATTCCGCCGAGAAGAGCAGTTAACATCCAGTGTTGACTTGATAGAGGTAATACAACTATTCTTATATCACGTGACATTTGATACACCTTTAGCAATGCACAAGTACGGAATATATTTTCTCATACGTAATACATTTACAACCTATTCGATTTCAGCTGTGGCGGCGGTATGACAAAGACAGGAGTGGATACATTAATGCAGACGAGTTAAAGGTAATTCAAATTATAAGAGATATACACCTAGTTCATTCATTGACGACTATGGTTTGCGCGAGATTTATGATAAACATATTTGTTCCAAGAATAATTTTGTATCAAATCTCGAACATTTAATTCCAGCGATAAAATATGACATTTGTTTAGCTACCTGTTTTGATAGAAGCAGGGTTTGCGTTTAATTTTGGACAGGATTCTAGAAAAGGAAATACAATTCACTACAATACCCATTAGGGATATAAATGCGTGACATGACTTCTGATTTGAATGCTGAATATTTATTTCTATATGCAGTCTTTTATTCGCGATCTGTTGGAAAGGAGAGGATCATCTGGTGTTGACGATGACAAGCTGGAACAATACACTGCAGGTCTGGTAGGTATAGTCACCCATTCGCGTAACCTGGCATCTTATCGAGATTGTTAAATTGTATTTTCGCCATCATTATCGTTTTTAAAATGTTAGTAACCCACAATAATATTTCTGTGTTTAATCAAATTGAAAATTGTCCAATTACCGTGACAACAGCTCACAATATTCGACAAGAATGGCGA